AAGAGGATCCATTAATTGTTAAAAACCTCTCCTTGGATGATGAATGGACGGCCAATCCAACTGCCAACTGATGAAACAGACAATGACGAGCCTATTAGGGATGAAGGGGACGGTTCAAATTCAAGAAATAGAAAAAGTATTAATATCGACTTAGAAGACGAAGATGATGATCATGGTTATAGATATGACGGTAGTGCTTTTCAAATTGATCATATTTCATGATTTTGTGACTAGAACTAATTAGTTTGGTAATGTTGGTTGATGTTCTGTTGAATTATGGGTTTAATAGTTTGCTTATTTGGTACCGAAATATAAAATTATGTTGTTTTTTTGTCAAGTGCTACGGATTTATGAATTTTATTGATTTATTTTTTTAGGCTTACGCTCAACGTATGCAAGAGGAAAACGCCTCGAGGCTCGTTTCCATTTTTTAAAACCTTGGATAGTACCTTTGATTCTCATGAAAATTTCTTTTTGGGGTTGTCCTAGGAAATTGGACATGTTGATATAGGTTTGTGATCGAGTTACTCGGTGATGAACAACAGCGTCATAGTGTTTAATAAAGTTCCTTGATGACCTGTTTTTATAAGATGAAGAAAGGAACCAACGGAGAGAGCTCATCAATCTCGTAACAAATTGTTTTTATTATCTTTCTCCTAGCTTATAGATGAAGGATCATGAAGAATTTTCTTAGTTGTGTTTCTTGTTTATATATTACAATTTTTTGTTAATCTAAATAAAGTAAGTCTACAGCTAGCTTCCTTAACTTCAAGAATAGATTTTAACCCCCTGATTTTCTAGCACTGACTTGCCTGAAATGTCTCATAAGATCACTAATCCAAGGTTTCCTACATTTCCCTCAATTTGGTGAACATACATCTTACATTTACAACTTGCTAATGTTATCAAGAAGCATGTTACACAGTCGCTTTGTCATCATATCTACAGGTTGAAGTCCTAATGGAACATATGGAGTACAAACCAATCCACTATCTAACTTTTCTTTAGTAAAGTGTTCGCCTATCTCTATATGTTTTATCTCTATATGTTTCATCTCTATATGTCTCATCTGGTCATGTTACACCGAGTTATAGGCTAGACTAATGGCTGATTTGTTATACCAGTGAACTTTATATGTTTGCTCCATTGGATCTTAGCTGCAGCACCTCAACTCCATAACTATCCCACCATTGAACAATATGTTTCAATGAAAAACAAGAAAAATAATGAATAATATGTACAAAACAAGAATTCCATAAATAAAAGTTTTTAAAGTATGGGCATTTGCCCGGCAGGCGTGTCATATAAATTGACAAAGCTCCTCTATACACAAAAAATCCGCATTTGTGTTTATACGCATCAAATTGACTTTCAATCTTCATATATGTGGCATCATCTTTAACGAAACTCTCCATACAATTGAGCAATCCCCTCGTAATCTACGAATGGTTAGAAGTATCAGGAGTCCATCTAAATCGAGAATTAAAGAAGTATTCGGCTGCAAGCAAGTCACGGTGCAACTAATGCTCCCACATTGAATCGATGATGTCCCAGATCTCCTTATAAGAAGACACGTCATCATCCAAATTCTTTGCAATTTTTTCCTTTGCTTCATCCATTGCCCTATAAATAAATCTCATCGCAAGAGTCTCACTGTCAACTATCTGAAGAACACGCACAAGGGGCTTTGTGGTTCTAATTGAATAAACCACACTAGGCCAAAATATTCTCTCATCTGTAACAATCTTTTCGATTGCTTTTCCTTTGGGTTTTTTCCGCCCATGCAGAATATGACCACTCATTTGATATAAACATAGTTTGTAGTGGTTGCTTCAAATCAAACATACTCTCCAACGTCAAAAGGGTCGTGGCAAATCGGGTGGTTGCAGGGCAAATAGATGTTTCTTTGCAAACTTCCTTGCTAAGCTCAATACCTATTAATGACTATATATGAAACCACTAACTCGTTTTGCTTTGATCAAAGCATTATTGCTTTGATCAAAGCATTTTCTTTTTGGGGCAATTCCCCGATTTTCTCAAGCATCAAATTGATGCAATGAACAACACATGGGGTCCAAAACAAAAAAAAAGTTTGTGTTCATTAACAAGGTTTTCGCAGCTATGTACGCACTACATTATCCTTGACTATTTAACCATGATATTTTCCCTGATCTCTTCGATGACTCCATCGAGCAATTCAAATAACTTCTATGCATCATCCACACAGTCTGACGCATCAACAGTCTTAAAGAAGGCAATTTCATGTTGATTGTTGACCAGAAAATTGATCAAGCTTTTATTTCTCATGTCTGACCAACCATCTAATAACGAGACCCCGGTATCTTTCCACGTTGCTTTGATATCATTCACTATTTCAGTAGTCGTCTTCACTTCTTTCTATATCCACATCCTCATCTTGTGTATTGTAGGAGCATTCTATCCACAACCGTACACCCCAACGGAACACAACATGCTAAAGTAAGAGGGACTTGTTGCTACATCAAATGGAATGTCATTCTCGAAAAAAAAATCTTTCGATGTCCATACACAATTTATTGCAAAGCTCCTTAGCATTCCTTTACTTGGAGACATTTTTCGTCATCTCCCACATTCCCCAGGAATCGATCCATGGGACGTCTAACCCCCCCTAGCATTCAAGGTCTCCAGGGAATGCCACTTCCACTTGCACCTCCACTTCCGTTGACCAGCAAAATAAGTCGTTGTCAACGGTTTCCTCAAAGTTTCATTGAGAAGCGAAGTTCGCATCTCGAAAGTTCTTTAAATATTGTACGACCTCGTCCTCGACTTCTGGAGGGACTTTTGGGCACGGTAAGACATCTTTATGCGTACAAGCAAGATGTTCTTTGACTCGCTTTACGCCTCTCGTGATTTCTTTGATGCAAAAGCTGCATTTCAGGTATTTCTAATCTTTTTTCCACTCTCTCCGGATACAGCAATTTCAACACTATACTTCCAAGACGGATCTTTTTGTGATCCCATTTTAATATACTATAATACAAAAACCAAAAAACAAAATTTATACCTACAAAAGGTATATGTATACATAGAAACATAATGTATACCATAAAAAACATGTGTATGCCTAAAAAAAACATGTGTATGCCTAAAAAAAACATATGTATGCATAACAAAAAACAGAATACTTGTATATATATAAACAGATTATATATAATTAATACATAAAAACAACATGTTTATAGATAAAAACAGAATATTTATGTATAAAAAGTTAAAAACAGAATATTTATTTATATGTAAACAGATTATATATAAACACGTACAAGTCCAAAACAGCATATATACAACTTACAAGTTCGAGTTAACCAGCATATTAGCATATATACAACTTACAAGTTTTGAGTTCCAACAATGAGCAATCTAGCATATAAAACAGATTATATACAATCTGTTACCAGCATATAAAACACAATTTATATATACTTATAAACGGATTATATGTTTACATAATTACATAAAAACAGATTACATACAAAATTATAAGCGTATTACATAAAAACAGAATTTATATATAAACAGATTATATATTTATGATGAGAATCCTAATATTTTAGCGCAACATGTCCCGAGTGCTTCAAGTCTACTCTAGAAGGGCCAAAAGGGCAAATCAGGAAAGTGGCTATGTTTTCTGTTAGAGGAGTGAGAAGAGAATAAAGGGCGTGGGGAGTGAGTGCATGGGGGTATGGACAATTATCTTTTTTTGATTGGCTCTTAGCTTGGTAGCTTAGAGAGAGGGATTTTCCCTGGATTACTAGTGGCTGTTTTCTATGTTTTACTCTGCTAATTCAATCAAATCTTCCTTTGTCCCATTCTCTGTTAGTTAAATTGTTTCAATCCTATTACCTCATCTCTATCAATTTACATAAATACAGATTACATAAAAGCATAATATTTATATAAAACAGATATTATTATATATGAATATACCAATTACCAGCCATTTGATTTAGATCAAGCAATGTATCAAGTATGGAATTGTGATGCAGAACTAGGTTACCAGCATGCATACATGATATAAATAATATAGTTAATTACATAAGAAACAGCATATATACAAGTTTTAGTTCGGGTTACCAACTTACCAGCAAATATACATGATATAAGTACAGTACACAGAGATTACCAGCAATAGAAGATGCAGTATAAAGAACATGCAATATATAAAATGTTTTATTATAAGTTAAGTTATACTGGCATATGTACATGTAAAAAAAACAGAATAAGTACACAATACACAGCCATAACATAAAAGAGCATGCAGTATATAAAGAGTTTGGGTTACCAGCAATAGAAGATATCTTGGAGAGAACTGAGAAGAAGCAGAAAATTTTGGGGAGACACAGAAAAATTTGGGAAGACGATACACTTTCCATATAGTAGTAGGTTTCTTTTAAGTTTTAATCTTTACTTTAATTATGAAAAATCAAGATTATCTGCAATTTTGGCAGAAACATGCGCCTCCCATCGCCCCACTGCCTCACCGATCAGGGGCGTACGTTAGATCTGGGGGCTCAGAGGCGCCTCATAAAGATTTTGGATCCGAACTGCCCTGAGGTGTGCCTCGATGTGCACGTCTCTGGCGTTTTTAAAACCATGGTAATATGTATTACTTGTGACAATCAAATACAGAGAAAAGAAGTAAGATTCTTCATATCTAATCTACTTTAGTAGTTTAGAGAACCTATAATTTTCATATCAATTTAAGTGGAAAAACTCAAGATGTAACAAACGCCTCTCATTTGAATACGAAAATTATTAAACCGAAGCCATATGAAAGTTTAGAAGTTTGCAGTACTTGTCATTATTAGAAAGGAGGTTTAATAGTTTCACTAGTTTCTTTAACTATATCAACTTAGTGCTCTATATAAACTGATATAGGAAAATACGAGCCAATATTACAGACAACTTGAATTCATGGTATGAGAATTCAAGCTTGCATATTCAGGAACAAAATGACTTACCAAAAATGCTACTTCTACCCAAAGGCAAAGCACGAACTAGCAAGTTAGCAGCATGTGGATCACAGTGCACAAATCCATGTTTGAACATCATTTCAGCAAAAGTTTGACTAACCTGCATTCAGTTAAGCTGAATTCTTATAAACGTTCAACAACCAAAAACTTAAAATAGATTTTAAAAATGAAATGAAAATCAAGGAGTGATTGACTTATTGGACCATCATTCGTGGCTTTTGTTGCAAGAAAACCATTGTTCCTATGAATATGAAAAAACAAATACTACACTTAAGAACAGGCAATTCTAGACAGAAGTGCCAAGTGTGATGGTTTTTTCTTGTACATTTCCAAGATTTGTCAAAAATCATTCATTCTTGCAAGCTATATTGTTTTTGAGCATTTTTGCAAGATCAATTGTTAGTTTGCCACAAGAAGCCAAGTACCACTATGCAAGAAATCATGCCAAAGCAATTCAAAGTCATCGAAACACAAGTCTTAAAATTACTTTATCTTGATAACTTCATGTATATCAGGTATACCCAAAGAGAAAAAAAGATGAAATGGGCTTACTAATTTTGAAATGTCATGTGGTTGAATTCCAAGTTTTTTGATGCTCTTTAAATCATTCACTTGTGCACCTTCTATGAACTCCATGGTCAACACTTTTGTGGTACTTAGACTCCAATAGATTGTAGGAGCATATATGTAGTCTGCAATATGAGGAGATAACCTTCGAAAGTTATCCATACATTGTACGCTGTTCTTGGCTTCATTTAAGAAATCTAGCTCCTGATAGCCATCATTATAAAGTTAAAGGTCATAAACAGATTATTTTGAGCACCTATGGCTGCATACATAACGACAGAAGATGCTGCAATGTATAAGTAACAAGCATTTAAGATAGAGCAAAATAAACCACAAGGGTGGTGCCTGATTGGTTTGAGCTTGGGCTCCAAAGGTCAAAAGTGCCTGGAGGTCCCAGGTTCAAATCCAAGGAGGAATAAAAATCCTCTTGTGGCCACGGAGGTTCAAATGCGGTGACTCCGGGCTACCTGCAAAGCAGGTGGTCACCTGGGATTAGTCGGCTCACGTACGGGTTGGATATTCAGGTTAATTAAAAAAAATGGAGCAAAATATCTTTTTACAGCATGCAGCATACATTAAGACGTGACTTATCTAATTAAACACACACGAGCAAATCGTGTAAAGGGTAAAGACTGCTTTATGCATATTCAGGCAGGCAGATCTAGGAATTTCAGAGCAGAGGGCCCCCCCATAAAATATTGTGCATATACTTAAAATAATTAGGAAAAAGAAAATAAAAATAGAAGGCAAAACAATAACAATGTCAATGCATTAAACAGTTGAACTAGTTCAGGGATGGAAAGAAAGAAAATAATAATGAAAGGGAGGGAAAGAGGCACCTTCTGCCATTGGAGTTTAAGAGCTAAAAATTTCTTTTCCCATATAAATAGCTACTTTAACCTATGATGATTTACAATCATTGATGGAGGGTTATCACCTTCTAAAGAATTGAAAAACTTGTCTACGATAGAAAGAGAAACATAACTGCAAAAGGGAGAAAACAAGCAGGATGCATTTTGGATCTGAATGGAAGAATTCAAAATTTTTGTTCCCATAAAAATAACTACTTCAACAGCTACAAGGATTTCCCATTAATGATCAGCTCTAAAGATATTCTAAAATTTCAGCCAAGGTACAAAGCCAATTTCTTCCTTTTTATGGGTGATCCTATGACCATCCTCCCTATAACGTAGATCCACCATCCTAATGCATTTTGAGATAATAGTTTCAAAAATTCTCAAATCGAACCTTGGGTGAAGTTTCACGTACTTCATCTACCAACCACCTACATCAAAACCAAGCAAAATTTAAGTCGTATGCAATATAATAGTAAGGTCTTGACATCAAGTTTAGATTTGAGCACTCAAACTTCAAGATTCTTATACTCCGGTCAAAAGATATGGTTGATTCAGAATCGTACAAACATGTAAGCTTAATAGGCAAGCATATACTAAGTATCTACATTAGAGCATCCTTTGATTTTGTATATTCATATGAACTGTTTGAAATAACATAGAGCATAATGGAGACCATAGCTATAGCGATAGAATCTTCAAAAAACGATAGGCAATAGGACAAAGACATGAACCTGTAATCAAATGACGGAAAGAAGCGGTGCAAAGTGTTTACAATCACTTCCACTGTGGCAAAATCAGCAGCTGCAGTATCTGTCATATGGGTATGCTGTACCTGGAACAAAGACAAAGGATCAAATGACGATCTTGAGATTTCTATCAACTAGCATGAGACTGTTCTTGCATATAAAACCCAAAATGATTGGAGCATGATAAGAGTTGAAACCTTCACAGCAACTTTTTGCCCATCATGAGTACGAGCAACATGAACTTGTGCAAGGGAAGCACTTGCAATTGGAACAGGATCGAACTCCTCAAATATCTGAGTGATAAAGCTTGACTCAGTTTCATGACTCAAAATAGGGAGGAAAATATATGTTGGACTCTTGTACTATTGAGTGAAATAAGTTATGTCCATGTACTATAAGAATCATTAATCTGGCCATTGTACTTCATATTCGATCACTTTTTGACCAAAAACAGTGATTTGACCAGTTTGCCTATAAGAATGATATTATGTTAGTGTTCATCAGGGATAAATGTGTAAATAAAAAAAATAGGCCGAAAAATAAAATTAAATGGGCAAAAGATGATTAAAACATAAGATATTGGTCGAAAGACAATTTAGTCATTTGCCCAAGGAATAAACACAGTTTTCCCCTCGAAATACCAAGAGAAAGTATGCATCTGTGATTAAAATTAAATTACGACAGCAAGCAACGAATGCGGCGTCCATGCCGAGATTTCATACAGAATCTGGAAAATGATAGGATATGTTAAGTACCTCTTCAGGTGCCCCACCAAGCTCTTTCTTCACAACTTGGCAGACTTGATCATAGGTAGAAGTTGGGCATCTATTCAACATTGACTCCCTCATTGTCTTAGCATACTCTAGTGGTACCAAATAGTCCTAAACGACCAAACAGTAATTAGCCCAACAAAAGATAACTACTTTTTCCAAGTCATCATGTACCATAGCAGCTCAATCTTGAAATCACAAACTAAGTTTCTTGAAACTAATTGTGGGTATCCACAACAAAGACCAGGTCATCGTACCAGTTGACCAACATGTTGACCAAGTTTGATATAAATTCCACCATTTTTGAAACATAGCTCTTCAAGCCTACGTGCGCTCCTGGTGTGAACTTCATGCTTAACTCTTACCCTCTCATCGCTATCTTCTGGCAGTCCCATTAGTGAATACTCATAATCTAAAAGCACACCAACATTTACCATGCTTAGAATCAATCGGAAGTTTATTAAGGTCAATTGCATTGAATAGAAAATCCTGTATATGGAACATCCATATTTACGACTAGCATGAACTAAAGAGCCTCGTTTCCTAATTTGATTCACACTTGTTCCCCTCAAGAGATCAACAATGAGTTGTATGCCTCCAAAATAAGTAACATACAATGACCTTAATCTTCACAACAATACCCAACAGAGAATAGTGATATTTGAGCATGTACATAGCAATTAACAAACACTTCTAATGACCCATACAACACTATTGTTGCTTTCTGTTGTATATGGAGCCTGATTCAAATTGAAACCAGTCAACTATCTTTAGATCCAATTGAGTCAGTTATTTTGGGTAACTAATGTTTGAGAATTGAGGTATTGTCCTTTAAAAGGTTGCATTTTTCAGTGGAATGAACTTGTATCATGACATAATTCAAGAATCATATAAGTAAAATCCTAGCAATTCATGGATCAAATCAAAGCATTTTGCTGAACCACATAATATAATGTAATGCTCCCTAAGTAAACAGTATGTATGATTAAAAGTGGCAAGAATAACTACAACCAAAATTAAGTATGAAGTTATTTCTGCAAATTTCAAGGGACGCCCAATAAGAAACAGTTGCAAGTAAATAGTAATCTACTGAAGTAGATAATTTGAATTGAAAAAACAGCCCATTTGACCGCAAAAGTCAGCAGCGAGACAAAAACAAATTAAAGAATAATCACTACAACTTACAAATCCAAATTTATTTATATTTGAGAACTGTAAGATTAAAAATTTCAAAAGAATTAAAGAAACGTACCGAAGGCAATGGTAGCAGCAGTGACTGAGAGGCGAAAGAGGCGGACAGGGACGGCGGTGCAGAGCTTGAGAGAGGTTGCAGGATCGTCGGAGTTAGCAATTGTAGCTGCAGCAGCTCCGCAGCCCAAGGCGGTGGCAGCAAAGGCGATCTTCCATTTAGAAGGCCAAAGAGATCGCCGCACCGCCATGTTTGTCAGCAGGGGGTTTTCCTCCGACAAAACAGATGTAATAGGGTAGGATGACAAGTGAACAGAAGCAAAACAAAATCTATTGGGTATATATTCAACCAAAAAGCCATGGATGAATCAACAAGGGGCGGGAACACCCATAATCACTGCCTTCTTCCGGAGAAGGGTAGGTTTTTATCAGTCTTTTTCTCTTTGGTTTTTTCTCCGTGTAGAACAATTTGCCTACAAGATTAATCGCTCTGTCAAAAAAATTCATGGATTATTTGGTGATTCTTTCCGAAATATAATTGAAGTTTTATTTTATAAATTTAAATAAATTAGCTCATTTTTTAAATATTATATTAATGGTACTCGTGCAAAATAGCATGATAAATCTCGATTTTATTGTTTAGTTTTTATTCTTTGTCTCTATCGATATAATAGAATTTTATATGGTTTTGAGTAAACGGTAATGTTTTTTTAATTAAAATATCAATTTGAAGATAACTTAAAAATTTATTAAAAAATAAATCGATAATAGTATCAAATTAACTATTTAATAGTTCTAGTATTTTTTTTTGTGTAACTTTTCTAGTTTATTTTTTTATTGTAATTTACTTTAAATTTAATACAAAATAATTTATTTTTGGTTTAATAATATAATTTTTTATAAATATAATAATTAAATTCAATAATTATCTTAATTATATTTTAAATTTTTATATTTAAAATAGATGTTTATCATGTATTTGATTATTTTTATTAGCAGTTAGTTACACAAATTTAAAAATGAATTTTTAATAAGTTGTACTTACGTAAAATTACTTGTAATCTTAAATTTTAAGTAATATGCATCAATAAACAGTACTTCATACATAAAAAATAATTTTTAAGAGTTTTTGTCAAATGCTTTATAATATAGTACGGATATTTTTTAAATTTTTTTGAACTGGAGTTATATTTTTCAATTTTTTATTATTTTTATATAATAATATTGAATATGAATGTTAGGTTAGTCATTAATTTTAAATATTAAGGAGCATCTTCAACACTTATATCATTTAGAAATTTTTGAGATTTTAGGAAATTTTACTTCAGCAACTACGCTAAACTCTTATTTAAAATAAAGAAAAAAATGAGATAATAGAAAATTCTCCAAATTTAAAAGAAAAGAGAAAAATATCACATAACCTATTGAAAATACTAAAGATAAATAATTCTTATATTATCATCAAGTAATTGAATCGTTCATGGAAAATAACTGATTTTATGTTATAAAATTTGTGCGAACGTTTTGTTTATGTGATGATTTTCTTTTTTCAGTGAAGGTTTCTTTTGTAATAAATAGTTGTTACATTCGAAAAAAAATAGTTGAATGCTTACATTAAATTTCATGAAAATTTCTATTGCTTCTTGTAAATGTTATGTTGTTATTTGAGATTAAGATAAACAATAAGAGAACAGAGAAGATGACAAAAATGTACAAATAATTGAACCATCAAAATAAAAACCAATGGGTTGTTTGTTTACCTTTTAATAGTTCTATTAAGCGATAATCTCTGAATCGTTAAAAGGTGAATCTTGTTTGACAAAAAAAAAAGTTTGCGTCTTAATGGTTTTAAAACCCTTTGAATGATTGTGTATCATAGGTCTCCCTTAATCATTCAGCGCCATAATTTCAATGTAAACATTTACCAAACAATTTATATTTCAATTTGCACTATATCATAAGAGTCTCTTAATCATTCTGACCACTTAATAATTCAGCAACTATTAGACAACCTCTAAACGAATTAAAGATGTGTGATATCTTCAAGTTATTGCATATACATAAACACCAATCAACCATAAAAAATTATCGATATCATCTTGCAAATTTTCTTGAGCTAAAATTATATGAAACATTTTTTTTAATTTTTCAAAATATAACCCATTATTTTTCTATTTTCTAATTTTTACATCATCCTACCACATTACGATGTTCCATGATGATAGGATACCGCTTTTGTGTCCTTGTCGTCGGAAAAAACACCAATTTATCTTTTTCTGCGGGCTTCCAACTGAAATACAAGTTTCAGTTTTGAGTGATAATATTTTAACTGATGGATGGAAAAGATCAAGTGGGTGAAACACAAGTATTCGTTTGTTTTGGTTACCTGAAACGAGTAACGAGATGGTGAAGGAAAACAGAAAGTGCCACTTTTGCTAGCTCGTAACCGGGGCATCTCCTTGGTCCTCCTCCAAATGGCATGAAATTTGTTGGATCCGATGTTTTCTGTTTAAAAATTATAAAAGATCAAATAATTCACATGTGAATAAACAAAGGCAAGGGAGTGACCTTAAGTACTCGCCAACAAAAAAAATGTTTTCTCGTCAAACATAGTTGTTGCTAAAAGGCCAAAATCTAGCGTTCCATTTTTGAGACACATTGCCTCGGTATTTCTCTTGTTTGTAACTCTGCACATCTTAATTATTATGTTTTCAAGCATCATATCATGTCTTATCGACTCTTTCACACACATTCATGGTGAATGAGATGCCAGTTTAGATAATACGATACAACAGTTGTATTTAACGTTTTCTGATATATAGAGAAAGGAATAAAAACCTGCCATCTCCAAGGGTCAAATACACGAGCATCTTCGAAGTTATCTTGACCAAGATGAACGGCTCGAAGCGAAGTAAAGACTTTTGATCCTTTCGGAATTGTATAACCTACTTAAACCAGAAGAATTAATCATCTTTAAATTTAGGGAAAATGTCTTAATGCATACATTTAACCATACCTTTAATCGTAACATCAGTCATCGCTCTCCTGAATACACCACTGATAATGTTAGAGAGCCTCAAGGTTTCGTTCACAACCTGAGAATACAACACATAATATACACCTTTGATCATTTATCGCATTCTTCTTGTATTTTTAGTTTTATGGGTCTCACGATATCAATTAACTGCGACCATTAGCAGATTCTTTTTTTATCTGTCATAACTACTTAAATGTTAAATGTAAACATAACGACCCTTTGAAAACAAACGACATTTCTATAGAAATAACAGGATAATTGAACGTACACATTGTGTGAATGGCATAGACTTGTAATCGTCCCATTCAAGAGCCACGGACGTCCCTTTCTTTGCCCTAATGGCATCATGTTCTTCCTGTAGATATCACGATCGTAAAATAAGTTTTCGTGTATAGCATTTTATCACATGTTATGGATGTTAAAGGATTATAATACACGAGGCTCCTTTTTTATAAACCAAATAATTCATACAAACTTAGAATTTTTAGCACAGATAAGTAGAACAATAAAAAGTGGAACGACTTCGTACTTAAAAAAGAAAGACCTATTTGTTTTTTCAAAATTATTTTTTAATACCTCTGAAGTTTGATTTGTTTAGACGTTTGGGTATTAAGGTAGTTTGTTTTATTTATAAAATAAGAGCTTAAAAGCTCTAAATGTCATTTGAAATTTTAAGTTGTAAATGTATCACTTAATACCTCTTAATCCTAATCCGCCCTCTACTAAATGGTTCATATTTTTTGGGCTGGAAAAGATTTGTTAGCAAAAACTATTTATCTTTTATAGTTTTGTAAAAAAAAACTATTTATCTTTTATATTTTTGCAATAGTTTGACCGATTCAGATTTCAGACTTCAAATGTAAAAACAAACAATCTTATTGATCCAGATTTCAAACTTCAGAACCACCTCTTATAAATTAGAAGTAAAAATCAAACTTCAGATTTCAGCACCTCTTAAAAAACAAGCGCAACCGCAGTCTAAAGCTTTTAGTTTCCACACAGTACAATCAAATGCAAGTCTTTAATTAGTTTATTTCTTGTTATAGAATTTAGAAATATTAGTTAAATCTTTGAAGAGTTTATATGTAATCGGGGATGTTGTGAGAAATTGGTCTTCATAAAGATCGTAACATTTTAAGCGCTTAGGGGCCGTTTACCAAATGTTGGGTTCGGGTAAGCGTTTACCAAGTCACGTTACCTCACCGGACGAATATGGTAAGAACCAAAAATCTTACTCGAAAAGAGCGAGACAAAGACCAAGAGTCTTACCCGGTAAATGAGGGCGACGACTTTTACCACGGTAAGTGGGGGCGACGACTTTTACCACGGTAAGCACTTACCGGGTAAATTGTTGCATGTGATGTCATTTTGGTGGACTAAAATCTTACTCAATAAGTAAATAATAGTATTAATTTTTATTGATAAACATTTACCGGGTAAGTATTTAGTAAACGACCCCTAATCTCTATTGTAGAAATGTGAGTTAAATATTCAAATTTTTTTAAATAAGGAATTGCATTTATTTTTCATCCTCAAATTATCATAAAATTATCATCTTGTTGCATCACATGAAAATATATTTGCTATTCATATATATGTTTAAGGTGAGGGTACAAACCTTGAGCTCAGCAAGGGCCAATGGCGTATCCGTGAGAAACTTTACGGCAAGAGTCATGGTGGTCGAAGTGGTGTCGTAACCCGCAACCAACAACGACACTAGGAAATCCACGATCTCGTCATCACAAAAGATTACGTCATCGCCATCACTATCAAACAACGCTGCCAGCATGTCATTCTTCTTCACCCCTCTCTCCCTCTCTCTCCGCCGCTCTCTCACCACCAAATTTAACGCCTCCGTCACCCTTTTTCTCGCCTTCAAAAACACCCGACGTCACAACATCATAATTACCAAATTATCTTTGTTTGAATGCATTTTTTGTTCTAACGAAAGCGTACACGACCGTTTTATACTAAATTTGACAGGAAAACTTTCTAAACATGTACCTGAATAGCACGACGATAAGTGAGTGAGAAAAAAGGGAGAGGGATGCAGAAGAAGCCTTCGATAACGAGCATGTATTCTTTCCTTAAATTCTCGGTCCACTCACAAGGATCAATGCTCAAAAGTTGCTTCAACGTTAACTCAAACGTTATCTGCATAATTTATAAAAAACGAAAAAATAAAAATTCAAAATTGATCTTATAATATAATTAGATGTTTCTCACTTTGTTACTTTTTTGAATTTACACATGGAATGAAATAAACACAATGATGTCCCCTTCCATTTACTTTTGTATCAAGTAGTTGCATCTAGATTGGGATTAGGCACATGACCAAACACAATATTGCATCATACATCATCATTTAAGTAATACCTCCTCTTTACATTATAATATAACATAAGAGTGTTCGCACAATACAATACAACGAAATACATAGTAATTTTAATATTTCATTTTATTTTTTATCTCAGTCGATGTTATAATATGGTTTCATGTGATTTTGAAAAAGCTATAAATTTGACGAATTTGTTTTTTTTAATTAATGGTCATTTATTTTTAAGAAAAAGAATATTTATGAAAGAATAAAGAAGCCACATGAAATTTAGCTCTGACAATCTGTCACAATCAAAAATGCCCTGTTCGTAACTCGCCCGATTCAACTCACATTTTGAACATTCAAAACGCAAAATTGACAGAAACAGCGATGTTGTTACCTTTTTGGCTTCTTCCATCAGTAGAATCCGACCGGTCCACGAATCCAAATTGAGCCGTACCAGCCGGTCTATATCAACCAACAAATGGTCCTTGATGATGGTGGAATTCGCAAAACTCATAGTCAAAGAATGCATTCTTCGATGAAGACTGCCTCTCATAAGCAACAACGAATGTTTCCCAACCAGATTCGATATCGAACCGGGATAACTCGACTCGAACAACCGTCCCTCATTCTGCAAAATGAACCGGTTCGTCTCCGCATCGGCCGAGAAAATAGTTCGTTCTCCGAACACATGTGTTGTGAAAACGGTGCCGTATTTGGACACACGTGCGTCGATGAAGGGTTCTGGATTCTCCGTCTTGTAAGCGGATATGAGCTGGAAGGTTTCACCGATCAGCGGTAAACCGATGCTTCCCGGCGGCATACGGCCTTTCCGTCGCGAGGCGGTGGTGGTGCGAAGGAGGAAGAAGATGATTGTAGAGAGAGAAAGAGTAAAGAGTAGAGAGAGAAACAAGTCGTCCATGGTTATCATACCTGTAAGCTCACAATTGATGGGTGTATTGTAAATATTAGATTGAAGTGTTTGATTTTCTCTCTCACACAGCTACTGTGTGTTTAAGGGTCAGAGAGAGAGGGGATGGAGGAGGCCATTAATGGAGGAAGCACACGAATGGTTGCATATGAAAGGGAAGGAAACGAACGCAAAAAGGTGACAAGAAAGGGGAGGAATTTGATGTCGGCATAATTTTGGAGTTTTTCGGAAAAATTACTTTGGATTTGTACATTTCGTATTGCAAATTGTACCAAATTGCATGGAAATATCTTGAAATTCAAATTAAAGATGATAAAAGCATTTTCAACATGTATTTAAAACAAATATTTTTAACCATAAGGTTGGTGTTTGATTGGTTTGAGTTTGACTCCAAATATCAAAAGTATCAAGAGATTTTAGGTTCAAATCCAAGGAGAAATAAAAATTCTCTTGTGGTCACGGAGGTTCAAATACGGTGATTTCAGGCTTTTTGCAAAGCAGGTGGTTGTCATGAGATTAGTTGGCTCGTATAACTGGTTGGATGTCCAGGTTAATAAAAAACAAGCATTTTCATAACGGGAGAGGAAAAAAAGAACAATTTCTAGGTGATTGCCTTTGTTAGTCCACATCCCAAATTAGGGTTTACTTTGAAGTCGAAGATCGATGAACAGGTGTTATCGGAGGACGAATCATGAAATCCCAACGAGCATGAATAGTCATATTGTCCTTGTTCAGATCAGTTTGGAAAGATCTCGTCTGGAGCAGATTTGATCGTATTGAACAGTCATACCATCCTTCTTCAGAGTATATCTACATCCCACCACCACTCTCTATCTCTCTTTCTATATCTTATTTTCTCTAATTTAACATACATTAAAGCATAACTGTTGGAATCTTATTATAATATATCTCTATTTTAACCTAACTGTCGTAAATGGTTTATTTTATATATTTGTATATCTTGTATTGCAAATTGTATCACCGAAAATCCATCAAGACAAACTTTTTATTAAAGCTTTTTGAGAAAATCGAACTTATAAGGAGAAAAGAGAAGTTTTCTACTCCATAAGCAAGGAAAAGGGTTTAATACCGATAGTTTTTCACAATATTTTATTGTTGATATTTTTATTATAACAAGAAAACATTTGAATGTCTTTTTTTATATATACAAATTGTGGGTTTTGATCCAAATGTCTTTTATTATTTTTTTGATTAATATGGATATCCAACCCGTTATGCGAGCTGACTAATATTAAAACGACCACCTGCTTTGCAGATAACCCGAAGTCACCGCATTTGAATCTCCGTGGCCACAAGGGGGTTTTTATTCCTCATTGGATTTGAATCTGGGACCTCCTGGTACTTTTGACTTTTGGAGCCAAGTTCAAACCAATCAGGCACCACCCTTGTGGTTAATGTATTTTATTATTAACACAAAGCTTATGATTTTAAAGAGTTCAAACAAATTTTATTTCTTAATCAACAAATTTAATCACATTAAGGGGATGTTTACCAAACGCTTACCCGGATAAGCATTTATCAAGCAACATTACCTCACCGGATGAATATAGCAATGACCAAGAATCTTATCCGGTAAGAACGAGACAAGAACTAAGATTTTTACCCGGTAAGTGAAGACGATGACTCTTACCATGGTAAATTGTTGCATACGATGTTGTTTTGATAGACTAAAATCTTACCCGATAAGTAAATAATAGTTTTAAATTTTACCAGTAAGTACTTATCGGATAAATGTTTATAAACCGTCCCTAAGTATATTTTATATTTTATGCATATGATTAAAACAATAATTTATTAATTATTTTATATAAAAAAACAAAATGAGAAATTTAAATTAGGTTTTTGGAGGGGGATAAAGTTAGTAGTGTTTTGATGTGAGAGCATGTTCTATCACATGGCCGCATGAGGTACGCATTAATACGCTACCCACCCGATAAAACCTTCAAGGTCTCTCTCAATGCTAAGTTGTGCCCACAAATATGCCATTTCGCTTTTTTCTCTTAAACTCCAAATTACAAAAATGCCCCTTATCATCCCATATATTCTCAATTTAGTTTTTAATTTCATCTGTTTCAGTTACCAAATGTTCGGGTGAGTATGGAAAAAATCAAGAATCTTACCTAATGAAAGGTAAAATAAAGGTTGAGAATCATATACGATAAATGAGAGAAAAGACTTTTAACAGGTAAATATTTTCCGGACTAAAGACACTTAGGGGTTGTTCGGTAATGGTTTAATGGGTTGTTAAGCCTGTATGACTTATTCGGTCAGCCATATATTGTTGTTCGCTTCTGCCTTATTCGGTCAGCCGATGACTTAACCGGTCAGTCAAAACGGAACACAGGAGCATCGATTTCAATTGTCAAACGCCTCTCGTTGGCCGTCTCCTTTCGCCCTCCTAGTAGCAGCAAACGTTGTCGCCTGAATGCCGCCACCGACGACCGTTGTTCGTCTGAGACCCAAGCAGTAACAGCAACGAGGTATTTTTAGACGTTTAGTATTTGAGTAGTTGACTTCTGATTTAAAGATCCATTTGCTTGCAATTCCATTTACTATATTGCAAATCTACTACTACAAATCCATGTGCTATATTGCAAAATTGACTTATGAAAACCGACAAAAGTTGACTTGGGGTTTTATTATAAGGACTTATTATTGTTGTTTTGATTATAACATTTAACTCATAATTATGTTAATCAAGTTGTTTTTATTTAAAAAAAAACTTTTAAATTGATATTTTTTTATAAATATAAGTCATTTGTTCAACATTTTCATCAAATTGTTGTTTTATTCAGACAAAAATAAAGACCGAGGGTAAAATAGTTATTTCTGACATTCAAACTGTTTATTCATCATAACAACCGAACAACAACTTATCTGTTAATATACAAACAACTATATCAATGCATACAACTATATTCATACATGTCTTAACAGAAAACGAACCGAACAGCCCCTTACAAACTCTACATTTTGATTGTCATTAGCGTTTATCAGGTAAGCGTCTAATAAAGGGCCTCTAAGTCTAAAAAATATTAACGTATTCGGTTTGATTTTGAATTGCCAAGCCTCTTGTGGTAAGGCCCTTGACGAATTACATTCAATGCCCCTTTATGGTTGCAAAGTCTAGGGTCATATTTTGGCAACCGCAAGATTGTTAGTGATTTTAGTGTTATCAATCATGTTGGTGTGTTTGTGATTCATTCGAGATCAATTAAGGTGACGAGACAAATATAAGTAATTAGGAGGTGCAGAGTTTACACTAAAAAATGTTGTCATTATCACCTTAGATGTCATAGGCTCGAGGTCTGGGGCAACCTCCCGAGGTCTGGGGCAACCTCCCGAGGTTTCTGGAATTTATGAAGAGTCGAACTTAGTGAAAATCGTACTAAGTAAAAGTTTGTATCAATGGGATTAGAGATCTGTACCTTGAGTCCAGGCTTGCGATTTCCCAAACTTAGGAAAAATGACTAAGTCTGAACTAAAGAATCCAGACATCTGGACCTTGAGTCGAGACTTGTGATTTTCCATACTTAGGAAAATTGACCAAGTCTATGGAGCCACAGATCTGGACTTTCAATCCAGACTTGTGTTTTTTCCAAATTTTGAGTCAGACTTCTCTGATACGATTATAACTACTCTTCAATCTTATCCATTAACAGTTATTACCGTTTAACCGCCTGTAATCATCGATATTTCATTTAAGTATGTAAACACGAAAATCTGGTTTTAGAATCTCGATTTCACAGCCTTTGAAACAAGAGGAAAACTTAAGAATTATCTCAATACCGAGTTCATGAACCCAAAGTTGCCAGGGTCGAATTATAGTATTTGGAAATTGTTTCTTACAAGATTCTTGAGTTTATTCGGTCCCATTATCATCTCCACAACCCTCTTTCTAACAGAAATGACTTATTTTCTAGCTTATTGGAAATACCTCGTTTCATAAACTTTTTTTTTTTTTTGAAAAATTACTCCATATAATTTATTAACATATGGGGCTTTTTTCAATTATGCCCCTTACAAGTTCAAATAACTTTTTTAATGTCATTTTATGTTACATTGCAATGTAGTTTATCAGCTAGTTTTTATCATACATGACCAAGTTAGATAAAAACTAGCTTATAAATCAAAAAGCTTGTTTGTCTCTAACATATCTATACTATATTATAAAGCATTTGAAAAAAACTCTTAAAAATTATTTTTTATACATGAAGTACTGTTTATTGATGCATATTACTTAGAATTCAAGATTACAAGTAATTGTGCGTAAGTACAACCTGAATTCGTGTAACTAACTGTAGATAAATATAATCAAATAAAAAATAAGCATCACATTTTAAATATAAAAAATCTAAAATATAATTAGGATAATAATTGACTTCTAACAAAATACTTAATTAATTATTATCTTTATAAAAAATTATATTAAAAAATATACCAAAAAAGGAGAATTTTTTAAATAGTTAGTTTAGTACTAATATCAATATTTTTTCCACTTTTTATGATATCTTCATGTTCATATTTTTATTCAAAAATAAAAACATTATCGCTTTCTCAAAAACACATAAAACTGTATTACAACAAAAAAAAAAAAAAAAAAAAACGAAACAGTAAAATCGAGATGTATCTCGCTGCATTGTGCGAGTACCCTTCTAGTATTATTAGTGCAAATCATCAAACTACATGTTGTTAACTAACATATCTTAACAGTGATTTGGCATGACAAATAAAATGTTAAAAGTTACCAAAGGGACTTTGGCCTAGTGGTATCGTAGCCCTTGGCTTCGTAGGAGGTCAAGGGTTCAACCTCACCATAGGTGAGGAGGGTGTATGAGTTTATTTGTTGCATTTGTCGTATATAAATATTATATACTTAAAAAAATATATTAAAAGTTGCTAGAGAAAATTGTTCAACATTCATATAAAATGCATGTATTTAATAAATTACTCGAAAGTCCATGTCTTGAAACTATGTCGTTATAAAATATTGATAATTTCCTCAAATGAGTTGTTATTGAATTATTGAAATGGTGAGAATATTTATATTTATATTTGATTTAATTATATTTATTTACAACTGCAAATGGTTTTTTTAATGAAAATGGTTATAATTTCATAATT